CTCTCTATAAAGTTTTTACAGATGATATTTCCGCTCAAGTCAAATACAGCCTATGGACATTTCCTCTCTCCACCGTGAATAACTAGAACAGAAATGTAAGCCCTTCAAGGCAAAATCAAACGGTCATTCATTTCTTAGGAAGCAGAGGAACTTCATACTGAACCCTCATCAATTCTCCATATATTCCTGTCTCTTCTGCTCCTCACAGAGCATCACAGGCATAGTGGAGCGAAGCTGGAAGATCTTTGCTTCCTAGTGTAAGTGATTTGCCAAATGGAATATGGTGTCTTCCAAGCATGGACTGAGCAACAAATGAGGTGAGCTAAGAGTCAACTGCCTGCATGCTGAGCACACGAGGAAAGACAATGGTGGAGGTTTGGGACACACGATTCCTAAGAACACACATGCGCAACAGCGATCATGTACTGGGAACTTTACACATATTATCTCATTCCATCCTCAAAACCTCAGCATACAGGAAACAGTAAGTCCTACTGCTCCATTTCAGGCCACCTCTTTTAGACTAATGGCCAATGGGCAGCAGGAGTGCTCACACCAGCCCCAGGGCTGCTCTCCAGGCGATGCAGGCTAGAGAGGCTGGCTCTCCAGGGCTGCTTTCCATACCTGCCCAGGTTAAAAATGGGGCTTGCGGCTGGGCGCGGAGGCTCACACATGTAATCCCAGCACTTTGGGAGGTCAAGGCGGGCAGATCGCCTGAGGTCGGGAGTTCGAGACCAGCCTGACCAACATGGAGAACCCTCATCTCTACTAAAAATAAAAAATTAGCCAGGCATGGTGGCGCATGACTGTAATCCCAGCTACTCGGGAGGTTGAGGCAGGAGAATCTCTTGAACCAGGAGGTGGAGGTTGCGGTGAGCCGAGACCGCACCATTGCACTCTAGCCTGGGCAACAAGAGCAAAACTCCATCTCAAAAAAAAAAAAAAAAAGCCGGGGGAGCCGGGGGAGCTGGGGGGGTGGGGGAAGATAGCTTGCACTGCCCCAAGCCTCCTGCAGGAGGTGCATCGACAGCAAAACCCTGGAGTCTACATTTTCATTAAGCTCAGCAGGTTGAGTCCTGGGCACTAGGAAGTTTGAGACCCATTTTCCTAAACATTATTCATATCAATGAATGTCAAATACTGCAAGGATGCTTCTTTTCTAGAAAAGCAGAACCTTAACAGCAACCCACAAGCAACCCCCTAGTTTCCTGGGACCTGCCACTGTGACTAACACCTCTTTCAGTCAAAGACTGATTAGATACAGAGATATAGATAGAGACAGGGTTTCCCTCCCCCACTTGAAACTGATCAAGTGACAAAGGTTAACCAACATAAACTTCAGGACATGACTGAAAGCCCTGAACTCTTGTTCCCAGGGCACCCCCGCCCCCCAACATTTTAAGCGCTCGACAGGGGGCTATAAATATTCCGTTTGGATGGTCAACATAAGCCCAAACAAGTGCTTAAGGCTTTCCTTTTCATCTACCTTCTGATATTCTTATAATTTCTATTTTTAAAAAAACAGGTCTTCTTTCCCAGAGAGCCAGCCATTTGGTTTTTATAGCAAGGAAAGGATTGGCTTCTCTGGAAAAGCAAACAGAACTTTCCTTCTTTTCAAGTACATGATTGCCTTCTAGCAATGCCAAGGGAACGTGAAATTTAGGGAAAGGCAGGCTCTCAAATGGCTGGCCACTGCTTAGTTATACTTCAAAGTTGTATTAAAAACTGTTTGTCAAAGTCATTTAAATTTTTGATTTCTGTAAATTTTAACTTTTTTAGTTAAAAAATGGGATTACTGTTTTCTAATTCATTGCAAAAGCAAATCAAGGTAATTTTTAATAAAACAGGAAGCTGCAAAGGAGAGGGAGGAGGAGGAGAAGCACATTTTCAGAATTCCTGCCAAGTAAAACACTGGGCTGAACATGCCACAGACAGGAACTCCCTCAAACTCACAGGGTCCACAGGAGCAGGGGGAGAAACATTATCCTCTGGATGAGAAAAATGAGGCTCAGCATCTTCATTCAGGCTCCCCGAAAAGCAGAGTCTGAGCCAAGGATTTGGGTACAGAAGTTTATTTGGAAGGTAACCCTGAGATTCCCAAAGGAGGGGGTAGGAAGAGTGTGGCAGGAAGGGCAGGAAGCCCATGGAAGGTGTGAAAGCGAGGATGCTGTGGGCAGCTGGGGCTCATTCCAGAGCCCATCTGCAGAGCTGTGTGGACTGCACCTCAGGACTGTTTCCACCAGGGTAAAGAGGCTGGGGTAGTATCCACCAAAGCCCAGAACTCCCTGGGTGAGTCAAAAAACCCGTACAGGGCAGCCCAGGACCCGAACCCACGTCTGACTCAAAACCTGTATGCTTGTTACCATGCCACCTCTCAGAGTTTCCACAAACATAGGCTTCTCTTGCCATTCAGATGTTGCATATGAATGAGAGACCTGGTCTTTTTTCACTTTTACCTTTTAATTCACCCACCTACCCTTATTTTCTTGTCCCCTCAACCTTCAAAATGGAAGACTTCCTTCCGAGATGTTTGCCCACAGGCATTTAACTTCCTTCACAAGCAATGTAACTATCTCAAAAAGAAAAAGAAAAGTCTATGTTTGTGGTGTCTGGGGAAGGAGTCTGCTGGGGCTGTTTTTTCCAGCACAAGCAGCATCACTATGGAACAGCCACCTGGAGCTTAGGAGAGGGGAGGAATGGTAAAGCTCAGGGCAGAGGCGGGCGGGGCGCTGCCTGGGAGACTGTCACACGCAGAGAGCACAGTCTTGCCAGGACACCAGGAAAGGGTTAGTGGCTCCCACTAGGCTGGCAGTGGAAGAACCTGCAAGGTTCCATCAGGAGGCATGATGTGGACAAGCACCGTGCCTGCCTGGCTAACTAAGCTCTTTGTCCACACAGACATAGGGTATAAAGGATTAGACAGTCCGAATGGCTGCCTAAGATGAGTAATAGAATAGCGGTTTAACAGATCCAGGACTGCCTCTTTATTCTGTTTCCCTAGCAAAATAAATAAATAAATAAATAAAAGTGGCTTAACTCACCTGCTTGATCCTTACTATTTTTTTTAAAAATTAAAAAGTAAAGAAAAACAGCCGGGCGCGGTTGCTTACACCTGTAATCCCAGCACTTTGGGAGGCTGAGGGGGGTAGATCGCTTGAGGTCAGGAGTTCAAGACCAGCCTGGCCAACATGGTGAAACCCCATCTCTACTAAAAATACAAAAATTATCCAGGCGTGGTGGCGTAATCCTGTAGTCCCAGCTACCTCGGAGGCTTAGGCAAGGGAATCGCTTGAAACCGGGAGGTGGAGGTTGCAGTGAGCCAAGATTGTGCCACTGCACTCCAGCCTGGGTGACAGAGAAGAAAGATTCTGTCTCCAAAAAAAAAAAAAAAAGGCAAATTTGCCCCTTTCTCTGCTTTCTATAGGAATTCATTCCCACAAGTACCAAAAGTATTATAGCCTCTGTGGTAATTTCTTATTATGATAAAATACATAGAGACATAACACAGGTAGTGAATGTATCCCTCAAGAGTAATGAATCCAACAAATGGACACATGCATGTATTATATGGAATACTCAGGCCCATAACAGCAGCCTAGGGTAGCTGAATGATGGCCCTAATATACCTAAGTAATTAATAAGTTCCATCATAATTTTTGTTTTATGACATTCACTTTTATATGCCAATAGTCCATTTAATGGCATTTTAAATTAGAGGAAGGCCCCAAGAGAGGAGGAGAAAGCACGAGATACCTTATTGAGTCACAAATCTTACCATCTGATTTTTTAATTCCAAAAATGACCTAATAAACTTCCTTTATAATTAAATCAATCCTAACAACTTCTCTTTGGTGTTTTTCATTCATTTTTGGTAATCATGCAGAGATTTCAATTGGAAATCCATTATCATCGTAATTAAGTATAAAAATTGCTCTGTGCTCTCCCAGGAAAAAGACCCCACACTTGGTCTCCTGTGGAGCTTGACCCGGGCTCTCCAGAGGTACAAAGCAAAACTACTGGTTTTCAGTACCCTAATTTACTTGACTGCAGTGCATGAAATACACATGAATGATACACTCAAAACTTCAGACCTTCAAATGATTTCCTCATATGGAAGTCTTACCGTGAGAAAAATATGCTGGCACACAGTTTTTCATTTTTAGGCCTTCACAAAGTTTTAAAATTCATGACCTACATTAAAAGTTTGCTATTTACTGGCCAGGCACGGTGGCTCACGCCTGTAATCCCAGCACTCTGGGAGACCGAGGCGGGTGGATCACCTGAGGTCAGGAGTTTGAGACCAGTCTGGGCAACATGGTGAAGCCCCACCTCTACTAAAAATACAAAAATTAGCCAGGCATGGTGGTACATGCCTGTAATCTCAGCTACTCAGGAGGTTGAGGCACGAGAATCTCTTGAACCCAGGAGACAGAGGTTGCAGTGAGCCGAGATCAAGCCACTGCACTCCAGTCTGGGCGACAGAGTGACACTCTGTCTCAAAAAAATAAAAATAAAAATAAATTTTAAAAAAGAAAGTTTGCTGTTTATTAAGAAAGTAGTACTTCACAAAAGATATAACTGAACTGAAATGCACAGGCTGTTTAAGAGCCCAACAGATTACTGCAAAATGGCTATGCCTCAGATTCAACCAAATAAGAAAAATCTTTCCACTATGGCATTTATGCAGGATTTCATCTGCCGTCAGTCACAGAGCCACTACAAGACTAAACATTATGGGTGATTTTTAAAGAGTCTGTGATGTTTTAAAAATGTTATTTTGTGCAAAAATAATTATTTTCTATTTTCTTGAAAGCGCTATAATTACTAAAATGCATGAAATTTTGATAAAATCTACTCCAGTTGGCATCTGTGTTCTTCTAATAAATTAGAAAACATTCTTTGAACAGCTTAAATAATCTGAGTTTGCAAGCAAAATTACAGCCTAAAAATATTGGCTGTTGATACCAGCAGTTAAGAAGAAAGTCAGAACAAAGCCTTACCATTGGCTGTATTCTTTTTAAAGTTATCCAGGAATTCCTCCAGCAGTTGAGACTGGTTAGGAGGGGGTAGCAGACTCTTCTGGTCCCTGGAGAACAGGTCACTATCTGACCAGGATGTACACAGGGTGGCTTTTGTGTCCGGAGGCCGGGCAATCAGAGTGAGTCCGACGCTCTTCTCAGAAAATAGAGCCTCCATCTGCTTGAGGTCAAGATCAGACACAGCTTCCCCATTTAAGGTCATGATCTCATTGCCCTTTCTCAGCCCTGAGAAAAAGGAAGGAGAAACAGAAAAAAAGAGAGAGGGATTACTGTGAGAAATATTTTAAGATGAAAGAAGGCTGCAAACTCAAACCATGTACTCCTAGGGGCTGTTTTGTTTGTCGCTTTCTTCAAAGAAAGTGCCAGCCGGGCACAGTGGCAGGTGCCTGTAGTCCCAGCTAATCAGGAGGCAGAGGTGGGAAGATCACTTGAGCCCAGGAGTTTGAGGCCAGCCTGGGGTGATATAGCAAGACTCCGTCTTTTAAATAAGAAAAACAGAAAAGAATTAAAGGGCCAAAATGTATAGTATTTAGATGCCACTAAGAGCAAAACAAATGTTAGCTCTCTCACAGCTACTATTAGAAGAAACAGTTTGAAAGAGAAACAACTTGAGAACCACTCATTCATTGCTTTTTCCAATATTTTTCTAGTGTTCTCATGTTAACTCTGTTCCATCAGTGTCTGCCTATCTGTCTCACACTCTCTTCCTCCTTCCCTCTGTCTATATATATGTATACACTTTCTGTCTTTTAAACACACACACATGCTCTCTCTATATATAGGCATATGCATTTTCTTTCTTTTCTCTCTCTCTCTTTCTCGTTTTTTTTTTTTTTTTTTTTTTGAGACGGAATCTCACTCTGTCGCCCAGGCTGGAGTGCAGTGGTGCGATCTCGGCTCACTGCAAGCTCCGCCTCCCGGGTTCACGCCATTCTCCTGCCTCAGCCTCCCGAGTAGCTGAGACTACAGGCACCCACCACCACTCCTGGCTATGTTTTTGTATTTTTAGTAGAGACAGAGTTTCACCGTGTTAGCCAGGATGGTCTCGATCTCCCGACCTCGTGATCCGCCCACCTTGGCCTCCCAAAGTGCTGGGATTAGAGCTGTGAGCCACTGTGCCCGGCTTCTCTCTGTCCTTTTTTATGGAGGCAGGAGTCTCACTGTATCTCCCAGGCTGGTCTTGGACTCCTGGACTCAAACAATCCTCCCATGTTCCCACCTCAGCCTCCTGAGCAGCTGGGTTTATGGGAGTGAGAGGCTGTGTTTGGTCACATTTCCAATTAAACTCTTAGGTTTACTTTCTTTAAAATTCCAAGAGAAATCCTTTTCTGACAAAACTGAATGAAGAAACATTCACTAGCCAGGCTGTATTCCACAGTTGCAAATTAAGAGACAACAGAGGCACGGTGTGCCACACGGACCTTCCCCATACGCCAGGCCATCGGGAAGAACGTCGCTTACAAATATCCGGCTGAGATGCTGATGCTCATCCACCTGCGCTGTAACTGCAAACCCTAGGAAAGAAAATAAAAGGAAAAAGCACGTCTCAACCCACCACACTCAATTTCTCCAACCACATCGGCAGTATCTCCTTGAACATATTTTCTTGTAAGTACAGTATGTTGAGAAAGTCTAAATTACAACTATTTTGAAAGTACAAATATCTTACGGGGGTAGAAAAAGAAAAATGTCAGACAAGAGGCTTAAGAAATATAAAAACATAACTTTTATTCAAAAGGTGAGACCATGCAGCCACGTGCATAACAGCATAATTCACAATAGCCAAGAGGTGGAAATACCCCAACTATCTGTCAATGGACGAATGGATAAGCAAAATGTGATCTATGCATACAGTGGAATATCATTCAGTCTTACAAAGGAAAAAGATCTTGGCATATGCTACAATTTGGGTGAACTTTGAGGAGAATATGCTAAGTAAAATAAGCCAGTCACAAATAGACAACACAGTATAATACTATTTATATGAGTAGCTAGAGCAGTCAACTTCAGAGAGGTAGAAAGTATTAATAGAACGGTGGTTGCCAGGGGAATTCCGAGAGATACAAAGTATTAAACTGGTGGTTGCCAGGGGCTAGGGGGAGGACAGTATGAGCAGTTGGTGTTAAATGGGTACAGAGTTCAGTTTTACAAGCTGAAAAGATTTGTAGAGATAGATGATGGTAGCACAACATTGTGAATGTACTTAACATCACAAAACGGTACACCTAAAAGTGGTCAAGACGATAAAGTTTATGTTATGTGTCTATTACCACAATTAAAAATTTAGAAACAAATTTAACAGCAAAAAAATACTCTTACTGAAATACATGAAATTCAGTTCAATACCACAAATAATTGCTGAGAAACAACTATGGGGTTGAGCATTTTAAGAAGGTGAAAAAAATGCTTGGATGAATACAGTGCTTGCCCTAAATATATAAGATTACATGCAAATCCTAGGGAGACCTTCCCTCTTCTGAATGCATGGCTCCTGACTTAGTGTCCCCCTCTGTGATGCCACAGTGAGGAGCACAGGTTTCCATGTCTTGGTCCCCTAATACGGAGAGTTCTTTGAGGACAGCAAGAATGTCCTGTTCCCCAGGTCTCCTCTGGGACCCCAGCAGAGCCTGGCAGATTACGGTCTCACCAGAGAGTATCTTTCCAAGTGTCTTCATTCACTCATTCCAGTACAAAGATGAACACAAATGGCAACCACAAAAAGCACAGTGAAGGCCAAGAGGAGGAGAAAAAAGGCCGAGAGGGCTTCAAAGGAAAAACCAACATAACATGGGGTCCGGGTGCAGTGGCCCACACCTGTAATCCCAGCACTTTGGGAGGCTGAGGTGGACGGATCACTTGAGTCCAGGAGTTCAAGAGCAGCCTGGCCAACATGGTGAAACCCCGTCTCTACTAAAAATACAAAAATTAGCCAGGTGTAGTGGCAGGTGAGGCACCTGTAATCCCAGCTACTTGGAAGGCTGAGGCAGGGAGAATTGCTTGAACCCAGGAGGCAGAGGTTGCAATGAGCCAAGATCGTGCCAATGCACTCCAGCCTGAGCGACAGAGCAAGACTCTGTCTCAAAAAAAATAAAAAATAAAAAAATAACATAGGGGTCAGAAAAGATTATACAAATTTTTAAAAAACGAAAGTATCCTAAAAATGACATTTTAACATATTATAAACTTTAATTTATTATTAGTTTGAATCATTTTAAGGAAAATAATCATGTATCGACATATTTTAACGAGGTAAGAAATAGTGTTTCTATGGAGGTATTTACCAATCATTAACCATTGTTTCTATGGATATATTTACCAAGTATTATCTAATCAAAGAGAAATGGAGGAAATGATGCTATTAAGTGACTTCAGAAGTACTGACCCTTAATTGTTTTTTGTTTTGTTTAGTTTTGAGATGGAATTTCGCTCTTGTTGCCCAGGCTGGAGTGCAATGGTGCGACCTCGGCTTACGGCTCACCGCAACCTCTGCCTCCCAGGTTCAAGTGATTCTCCTGCCTCAGCCTCCCAAGTAGCTGGGATTACAGGCATGTGCCACCACGCCTGGCTAATTTTGTATTTTTAGCAGAGATGGGGTTTCTCTATGTTGGTCAGGCTGGTCTCGAACTCCCAAACTCAGGTGATCTGCCTGCCTTGGCCTCCCAAAGTGCTGGGATTACAGGCGTGAGCCACCATGCCTGGCTGACTCTTAACTGTTAAACTCAGGGAAGAAAGAAAGAAGTAAAGCTAAAGCAATCAGATACGGTTTCTTCAAGAAAGTTAGACCCTCAGTTGGTTCTTGAAGGACAGTAGGATTCATGTCATTAGAGAAGAGGGATGGGGGAAGAAAGAGGAAAGAAGGGGAGCATTCCAGGTAGGAAGAGAAAACCAAGAGCAAAGACACTAGAGATGAAAGCAACTCTCCTATGAATCATGAGTTGATCTGCTCAGAGCAGCATCAGTACACAGTACATGGTGTTATTAATCTATATTTTCAAATTCCCATCAATTTTATATTCATTCCATTTAATTACTTTGGCATTTCCCTCTAATACTGATACCTATCTGTGTCACCTGCTAATATCAATAAATAGAAATGTAGGAAGAGAAAGGAAGTTCAGAAACTACTGTCATATATTCTGAAAACGTGAATGTAAGGGAAAAGCATTAAGTCCAAAGATACTGGGGCAAAGTAGGCAAAGATGAACCACATAACTCCCTGAAAGGGGCATTCCTTACACTTACCAAAGTCACACACACTCCCAGTCTTCGTGAGCTGCACATCATAAACATTTAGTGGAAAGACTTCTATTTCATCATAAACCTGCAAAAGGTGAAAACAACAAAATCAGAGGATTTCATGTTATGATACCTTGAAAAACTACTTTGACACTATTTTTCATAATAAAACAAGAAAGCTATTAAGTTACCATTTATATAGAGACTGTTTCCAAACTAGGTGCCGGATTTAAACAAAATTTTTCCCAGAAATGACATTTTTCAGAATCAAAACGCCATGGATGTGGTTCAGTCTCCCTTTCTAAAGCTAGTGCACACTTACCTGTTCTTGCATATATTCATATGGTGCAGGGATGCAGTACTCAACGTTGTCATCTACTAATTTTCGAAGTTGTAGGCCATAATGGCTGGGTTCCAATTGCCTCATCTATAAAGAAGAAGACAGTCATTCAGATTTTAAATGCTCTTTCTAAATCCATCATTGGTTAGCAGGCTCATTAAAAATCAAAGTAGAAATCGCTAAAAGAATACCACAAAAAATTTGCTGAATTTAAACCTATATAAGAGCTCTAATTTAAACATTTGGATGCAGGCCAGGCACAGTGGCTCACACCTGTAATCCCAGCACTTTGTGAGGCCAAGGCGGGTGGATTACTTGAGGTCAGGAGTTGGAGACCAGCCTAGCCAATACAGCAAAACGTTGACTATAGTAAAAATACAAAAATTAGCCAGGTCTAGTGGCACACACCTGTTAATACCAGCTACTTGGGAGACTGAGGCAGAAGAAATGATTGAACCCAGGAAGTGGAGGTTGTAGTGAGCTGAGACAGCACCACTGCACTCCAGCCTGGATGACAGAGCAAGGCTCCATCTCAAATAAATAAATAAATAAATACATGCATACTAGTATGCAAAAAAGTAAAGGGGGACAACTATTTTATTTTTTATTTTTTATTTTTTGAGACGGAGTCTCGCTCTGTTGCCCAGGCTGGAGTGTAGTGGCGTGATCTCCACTCACTACAAGCTCCGCCTCCCGGGTTCACGCCATTCTCTTGCCTCAGACTCCCGAGTGGCTGGGACTACAGGCGCCCGCCACCACGCCCGGTTGATTTTTTGTATTTTTAGTAGAGACGGGGTTTCACCGTGTTAGCCAGGATGGTCGTGATCTCCTGACCTCGTGATCTGCCCATCTCGGCCTCCCAAAGTGCTAGGATTACAGGCGTGAGCCACCGTGCCCGGCAGACAATTATTTTTAAGAAGGTTTTCTCTGAACACTATTGCTTATGATTAAAGGCAAAAGATGCATTTTTAAGAGATTACAGTAGAACATATCTGATAGTAGAAGAAATCTTACCAGCTCAGCAAATGCCATCTCTTTAGTTAGGTTGAGCCTAACCTTGTTTCTCATTACTAAAATACAGAAATTTGTAAAATGTGAACAAATCTACAGACTTCAGAATTAAGAATGTCCTACTCCAAAAACTTTTCAAAAGGAAAATGTTTACACACACACACTCATATTTTCTCTGTCATGCATATTTTCAACAGTGAGAAATTTATCTCAGGCATATGCTCTAACTGGGTCAAACTGACCCACTACTTCTTTTTTTTTTTTTATTTGGGACGGAGTCTCGCTCTGTCGCCCAGGCTGGAGTGCAGTGGCGTGATCTCGGCTCACTGCGAGCTCCGCCTCCCGGGTTCATGCCATTCTCCGGCCTCAGCTTCCCGAGTAGCTGGGACTACAGGCGTCCCCACCACGTCCGGCTAATTTTTTGTATTTTTAGTAGAGACAGGGTTTCACCGTGTCAGCCAGGATGGTCTCGATCTCCTGACTTTGTGATCCGACGCATCGGCCTCTCAAAGTGCTGGGATTACAGGCGTGAGCCACCGCGCCTGGCCGACCCACTGCTTCTGATACCCTTTACTACTCAGAAAATTATGAGTTTAATAGAGGGTATCATTGGTATAGAACATTGTTGGTTTTCTGAATAAAAACGTTACATATGGGAGCAAAAGGGAATTAAGTTCATAAGGATATAAACTACATATAAATGTACAGAATCCTAATGTTTCAAGTCAAAGTGAAAAAGGGGGACTAAAATTAAACATCTTTCACATTTATTAAGTGCACATGATTAAGCATTACTTAAACTCTATATGCCTTTTTCACCATGTCAACATATTTGATTGTATTTTCTCTGGAAACTTAAAACTATTTAAGCTCTACTACACCACCTGGTGGTCGAAAAGCTTCTGATCTGATGTTGCTGAATATATTCTCTCTCAGAGGGCCCTCTTTAAGACTTACCATAAACTCCCTTTTCAGATCAGGAATGAAACCCAGTTTGAAAAATGAATAAAACATCATCGTATATTAATCTCCATAAAGCAACTGTGAATATATCAAGTTTCGTGTTTAATCTGGAGAAATCCGATAAAACTATTTAGGATTAAATTAAATTACCTCAAAGTTTATGCCGCCTTCTTATAACACACCATATCTAAGTAACCTAAATAGCAATGGATTTCATAATTATTCTAGATACCAAAGTATACATAGAATTTCAGTAGATTAGCTCAGGTTCTTCATGAAGGTGGGGGATCATGATCTAATAACTCATTCTTCTAAAGAGATCAAGGAATAGAATGCAAATTAATCAATATGCTAATAAATACATTAACTAATAAATATGCTAATATGTTCCCTGGCATGGAAACTGGGCCCTTGAATACCACATGAATTTAGAAGGCATAAGATTGCAACATTAATGATTATTTCTACTCAGAAGTATATTTTTGCAGCAAAATCCATTACCTTGCATGCCAGAGTCAAAATATCTTCTACTCTGTGCTCTGGCTTGATCCCTACAGTAACTCCGTGATTATCCTGAAAGTGGACATAAGTCTGGATTTCCCATGCATTGTCTCGGGGAACACTGTCTACTGTTGAACCATACATATGCAGAAGTTCGTCGACCTGTTTGTAGATGCCAAAAGAAAATGCAGACAAATTTGATTAACAAATGAAGGAAACCACCGGCCAAATGTCCCGTTCATTTATGGACTATTTAGAGTAAACACTCACACGCTTTACATCACTGGCTTCTCACAGCCTTCTAAGGCCAACAATGTTTCCTCACTCATTTTATGCAGATGAAACTGCAGCCACGAGAAGTGGAGTGAAAGTCAGTGACTGCCTGTCCTGTGTTCTTTCCACTGTGTCGATTGGCCGCTTATGCCGAGTTAGACCACCACAATCCAGCTGGAAACGGTGGCTGACGCCTATAATCCCAGCACTTTGGGAGGCCAAGGCAGGCAGATCACCTGAGGTCAGGGGTTCAAGACCAGCCTGGCCAACATGGTGAAACAGCGTCTCTACTAAAAATACAAAAATTAGCCAGGCGTGGTGATATGCGCCTGTAGTCCCCGCTACTTGGGAAGCTGAGGCAGGAGAATCGCTTGAACCTGGGAGGCAGAGGTTACAGTGAGCCGAGATCGCGCCACTGCACTCCAGCCTGGGCAACAGAGTAAGAGTCTGTCTCAAAAAAATAAAAAAAGAACACCGCAATCCATGTAAGGACTGCTGAGTATCCACGCTTACTACTCTGGGATCATGGTTGAGAAGGGCCACTGTGAAGCCTGCATCTAAGCCATAATCCCTCTCTGACCTTCCACTAAATTCCAGACACACCTTGTCCATGGCCACTGACATCTGCCTGCTATCCTAACCCTGAACTGCACTTAGTCCAAGCACGAACTTTCTCTTCTAAGTCTACCTGGTTTTTTTGTCTTTGTTTCTTCTTTTTAATTTTAGCCTAACTCATCACTGATAGAAATCTATTTGTTCCTTAAAATTACCTGTAGTCCTGATAAATCTTCTCTCTATCCTTCAGCTACCTCACACACAGACACTGTTGGAAAATCATCTCAAAGAATACCACCTCCAGGAAATCCTTCCCAAGAAAGTTTAGTTTGCCAAACTACATCATCACAACAATTGCTGACTTCATGCTAATACGTCCTTTCGTAATTCATAACAAAAATAGCATACATTTCTTAAGCAATGTAGACATGTTTCTCTCTGGCTAGGTTCTTACATTCACGTAGTAGTAAAGAAAAGATTTGGGGCTTTGAAATCAAAAGTCTCAGACGCTACCAGCAAAGTATGGCCTAGGACAAGATTTACCTTGCTACGATTCAGCTATTTTGTAAAAGAGGACATTATTAATATAATTAATATTGAAAAAATTACTTGTGACTTAAGTTTTGTGAGCGAAAGAGGTCACTTATGTGAAACACCTTACATACCAAAAAATGTCACCGATAGATTCAATACTATCACATTATTATATATCATTCATCATACTTTAAAGTTATCATTAATGGGTGATTTTACTTTGAATTCCATGCATTTTTAAATACAAAGCAAAAGATCCTCCTATGTAGGATTTAAAAACTAGAAGAGACATCATAAAGCAATTTCAAAGAACAAAGAAAAACAAAAATCCATCTCTCTGTGTCATCTTTTTGAAAACATGGCGCTCAACTTTGAAGTGACATTTCTGGATCTGTCACGGATCTGTTGCTTTCAGCACATTTTTCTGGAAGGGTGATCACAGCCAGAATGAACATCCCCACACGTGCCAATGACAAAGGAAAAGACAGGACCAGATGCAAGGAGCCAGGGATGCCAGGAACCAACCCGGACACTCTCTCCTAAAGGCTCTTGTCTTACACAGGCACATTATTTTCTCCGGCTCATTCTCTGGGCAGTGATTTCAACCCAGTGCTTAGCAACAAACAGATGCTGCCTTAAAGGTGCAGGCCCCCACCTCTGAAACCAGGCTTGTTGAGAAGCAAACTAAAACCCAGCAGAGGTCACTGTGGAGTAAGAAACTTCACAAAGAACAAGGCCTGGAGGAAGTCACAGGCTCCCACTGAGGGTGGCAGAGCAATTTACTGCTGCACTTTAGGAGATCGGGAAAAACGTAATTATAGATAAACAGGTGGGGGAGGGACATGAGCAGTACAAATTAACACTGTGCCTTCACACCCTCTTGTTTCCACTGTTACTGACAATCAGAGAAAGGCTGTATCACCAGCCGGGCGCAGTGGCTCACGTCTGCAATCCCAGCACTTTGGAAGGCCGAGGCGGGTGGATCACCTAAGGTCACGAGTTCAGGACCAGACTGGCCAACATGGTAAAACCCCATCTCTACTAAAAATAAAAATTATCCGGGCATGGTGGCACGCATCTGTAGTCCCAGCTACTCAGGAGGCTGAGGCAGGAGAATCGCTTGAACCTGGGAGGCGGAGGTTGCAGTGAGCCAAGATCATGCCACTGCAATACAGCCTGGGTGACAGGGGAGACTCCACCTCAAAAAAAAAGAAAGATTGCATCTCATGAGGCCAAATGAAACAAGCTCTTGACATGCCATCAGTTCACTCACCACTCATAACCAGCCCTCTCAGGGAGACACCATCATCACTTCCTATGGAATAGGCAAGACACATGTGGCTCAGGACATTCTAGAAACTTGTCCAAGTTTACACAACTAGTGCCTATGGTACTCCGGGGAACTGAAGGGTGGAAGTCTGGCTTGAGCTGGTTCACACCACCGCTATATTACACAGAATGCCCGCCTGGCAGTTAACTCCCTTTATATAAAATGGGTACAACCTACATGTCCTGATTACTTTCCATTATTCTACACTACACACCATGTTCCCACTGAACAGAACGGCTCAGGGAACATTCCCCAAAAGGGAGTGGTAAGCTCCTGCTCCATGCCGGTGCTCACTTCCATCTCATCTCTCTGCTGTACCGTCCTTACAGAGACAGTGCTGAAACCATATACACCCTCCAACCTGGTTTAAAATGCCCCTCTCTTAGGAAGTCTCTCCTCTCTCTCCTTTCTCTGCCCTCAAGTCCTCTCACTTAGATGAGTTCACTCTCCTATGTCCCTGGTACAGCATTTGGCAAAGCCCAGCCCACAGGGGGGTCACTTCTAAGTCCCGCACCAGGGTAAGATGAATGCCAGCAGAGGCTTTGTCTTCTGTATCCTCATTCTCCCTCAGCCATTAACACAGTGCGTCCCGTACCCAGGACACACTCAAAACTTGAGTGCTGAGCTGGATACAACTAGAAATTCACAGTCACATACAGGCATGAGAGGTAAACGCTGTTCGTTTTCAGTATCTTACTCAACTCTGTTGACATAGTGTCAAGTTCTTAATGCTCTCTGGAAGCTATGAGAAGAGAAATTAACAGATTATTGAAGGAGAACAAGTTCTGAACAACAGAAAAGTGTGCAGATAGATGGAAGGATGGAAGGACAAAAGAAATAATCCTATTAAAATCCATTAAACAAGGTGCTGTGCTACAATTGCTCTGAGCAATGGTTTTCTGAGTCTACACTGTTGACCCGAGATGTAGTGAACCATAGGAGAGAAGATGCCCATCAAAGCCAAGGCCATCGAAGAGTTAGACCCTCTCAAGAGGCCACTCAATGAAAAGTTAAATGTAATTTTTGGTGTGTGTTAGGCAGACACACACACACACACACACATACACACACACACCCGTCACAAATGTATATACAGTTCAAGAAAAGTAAAACCTGGTTATTCAAAGGAAGCACCAAGAATTTAAAATTAATTCATTAGAACTAGAAAAAGAAAAAGCTACTTGGTGCTTACAGATCTCTTAGGTGGTTGTAAGCTTTGCCCATTTGGAGGGAAAGTTGGATTAATTCTCTGAAGGAGGGTCAATGCTATCCAAGTTGAAAATACATGTGCTTTAGTTTCAGGAAACCAGATAAAATATTCTCCAACATTCTTTTCATAAAAAGAATGGAGAATCCTGAAAATAAGCATTAAAAATGGAGTCAGGTGGAAAATTCTTTTTCCAGGTTACCCATTTCAAAGATGCCACTCTGTTAAATGAATATTTTCAACCACCCAGAATTCCATGGTTGGCTACCTCTGTCAGGACTGTTACACACCTACCATGCCTCCTACTCTACTTCCTCCCCTCAAAGAAAAAACCTATATATTTCTACTTCCTCCACTTAAGGAAAAAAAAAAAATATATATATATATATATATATATATATTTCCAACTAGCCTCTTCAAGGTTTCCTGGTCCTGAGAATACAAATGGAGAGAGAAAAAAATACAATAATAGAAAGACAATCCAGGTCAAATCTCAGCCTCGTTAGGGGCTGTTATCTAGTGCCTCTGCACTTCTGTTTCTTCACCTTCAAAAGAGCTTAAAAACAACAGTCTCGTGGGGTGGTTAGGAGAGTGACGGGAGGAACTGCACTTGAAAGACAGAAATTGTAAAGATGTTTTGGACGTTGAGCCTGGATCAGGTCTTTATACAGTAGTACTGGGCATAACTACTGTATTTCAGTGATGACCACTGTAAAGAACTTCCTGAGAATCATCCTTTGTTCCAAAGCCCTGGGGCACTGTAGTGGCCACTGCTGCTCAGATCACCTTGCAGTCAGCTCCAATTGGCCATCATGACACGGGAACATCACTGGGCTGCAGCCACAGCCACCCCAGACTGACTAGTGAATGTCTGCAAATCACTTTAGCTCTCCTTGGAGGGCATTCCACAGAAGTATTTTTTATTATTATTATTACATCAAGGTCCTGAAACCACATGTCAAATTACTTATGCTCAGTATGCAGCAAGGAGAAAAAATGGAAACTCCGTGTGTTCTCACAGCAGATGCTTTTGGATCAAATGGCTCGTAATTACTACTTGGATCACTGAAGGGAAGTGAGTAGCAAAATCACAATCTGGCTGTCACAAATGGGCCCACACCACCACAGTGGCTGATAAAAGGAAAGTCTATTTGCAAGGGAGATGAGGAGAAAACACAAAAGGGAGTTGCATGCTCCCAGTTTTCTTAACAACAGTAAAATGTCATAGAAGAGAAAGTGTTTATTTCCTTCTTGGACTGATGC